AGACTTTATAACGGGGCCATGCCAAGAAATATCTATTCCATATTAATTGGGCTTCCATATTACGCATGTAAGCCTATCCGGATGAGATCACGCCATAATATTGGCTATGGGAGTAGGTCTTGCCGGCGGACGAGCATTTGGCTGGTCCGCATAGAGCAAGTTAACTTTCTACTTTGCCCCCGCTTTTAGTGCAACTTGTTTAAGTTTTAGTAGTTTTGTATATTATGTTCAAATTACTTTGAGTTTATGCTGACTTTATTTTAATTAATCAGCAAAAGACCGATACCAGCAGGCTTCAGAGGAACCTTGCGGTCATTGAGGCCATCTCTATTTTGAACTGAATTTTTACAAAGCAAGCTGTTTCCTAAATGGAAATTCTTATTTACTATTTAATTTTGGCATTCATTATCGGCAAGATTTGCCTCCGCAACTGCATAGCTAAAAGATAATCTTGTTATATCTCTAATCGCCCACACCAACTGCACACGGTTGATCGATTGACTAGTTTTCATTGATTCTTATCATAACGACTGTCTCATGAACAATGAACTTATTTATTATTCCACGATTTTGACGTAGCGGATGAGCACCTTCCAAGCCTGGTGGATTTATATGATATCTGTTTAGCAGTAGTCTTAGGTTTACTTTCGTTATTTCAACGACTGTGGTATAAAGGCTTTTGTTCTGTGGACATTTGGAATCCTCATTTTCGAGGTCATCTAATTAAATGTTATGCATTCACACTGGGACTCATGAATATGGTATGTTATTCTCATATCTCGGACCAAATAGCAGAATGTACTTTCAAAAGATTCCCAGATTCGTAATTTTTTGGTCCAGCTGCGCTTGCTCTAATACCACTTCGTGTGATCTTTCCTCATATCATACCACTCTTAACATCTGCTTCACTGGTTCAGACAACGTTGCAGATATCTCTGACACGACTGATTTGGATACTATCGCCTGCACTGTTTCTGCGGCCATGGCGACGGCTGTTTCAGCCGAGGCAGCTGCAACGATAACCGATACGGTTGAAGCAACAGCCGCCCATCCCCAAGACGTATTTAGACCTCCCCTCGATGTCCCCCTTGAGCCTCACTTTCCCTTTTCTTCTCTGCCACCGGGTTCTCCCTCATACCTGGTTAGCCCCGATGTAACAAACACAAAGCCTCCCAGCTGCCTTGCCGGTTCAGATTTCGATATAGCCTCGCCGAAGGAGGATCCTGCGTTCTCCCATCTGTCACATCCTATGGGTAAGATAGGTTTCACGTTTCTCCTATTTCTTTCACTTTATGTCTTGTTTCATAAAATGCCTTCAAAATGAATATGTCAAAAGTTTGAGCTGGCTTTTTACCCTGTTGTCCTCCATTTACTCTCTCCGGCTATAATCGACTACCCATCTAGCATATAACTCTTTGTGTTTAATTATCCAGACCAGAATTTAGGCTGCCCTCATCCACAGCACCAAAATCGGCATAATCTACAAACTTATCCGCCCTCCTGCCCATCTTGGCGATCCGCTGGAGTCCGCATAATCTGCCAGGGTCCGGTCGACCGGCGAACTGCTGCTCGACACCTAGCCTCTCCCATCCGGTTGAAGTGGCCCCCTAGTTCGAACCCCCTCTGCCCAACTGATGCTGCCAGACGTTCGAATCTCAGCCTGAGTCCCAGCCTTGCGGATAGGGGCTTGAGTAGCCGGCAGCGTGACCAACGGCATCGGCTACTCCAGCGACGGGCCTCGGACCAATCTATCAAGCCAGCCATGTCCGCAACGTCCACTGTGGCGGATAGTGAGTGTGTAACAGTGCCGGTGATGAAGGCTTCCGTGCCATCTTCTTCATCGGGCTTCTCGACTGGCGCTCACTCAGAAATGAGTCTTGGCGGTCAGGCTCATGCAATGTCGTTTGTCCCTCCTGGGCTGACTGGTCCTCGCGCCTGGTTCCTAA